CCTGTCCCTGCCCACACCCTGTGGCACAGAGCCACCTTCCACCAGCCTGCCCCACTAATAACCTTTCCACCCACGTTCTGTGCCCAGGCTGCCTCCTGAAAAGCTGCCAGTGGGCAGGAAATCTGCAGCCAAAGTGTGAGGGATGCTGACAAGGAACAGTTGTGGGGAGGAACAGGGCTGCCTTTGTCAGGGCAACAATGGAGGACCCTCAGAAGCCAGGAGGGAGCCCCAGGGAAGCCCCTGCCCACCCGCTCTGCTCTCCCACCCTGCCTTGAGTTGCCTCCCATGAGGAGGTGCACAGCTCTGCAGAACCAGGGCCAAGGGGACCAGGCTGGTCCTCAGCCCCTGCCTCCCAGTGAGGGGTAGATGAGGGAGGAAGATGCTGCTGGGGTTCATCTGATGTCCAGAAGTGGAAACAGAAGCATGGAACAGCCCATCCCTGGGACCATGGCCATGGTGAAGAGGAACCATTAAAAATCATGGTCTGAGGGGAGTCTGATCTTGCTGGGAGCTCAGATGGAGCAGGTGAACACAGCCTGCTGGGGGGATGAGAGCCCCTTTTCCAGCCAGAGACAAATCCTTCCCAGTTGTGCCAGAGGACAGAGCAAGTGGCAATGGCCAAGAATTGGAGGTTGGTGGGTTTGGGTGGGACATCAGGCAAAACTGCTTTCTTGGGAGAACAACTTGGAAACTCAGCAGCATGGTACTCATGAAGTGTAACATAAACCTGGTGCAAACAAGCAAATAGCAATTCATGCTTCTTCCCTCCCCTTTTCCATAGTCTTTTCCATAAACCCTGCTCTAGCTGGAAACCTCACCTTCTGGTTTCCTACATAAATGTCTATCCCTTCACCATTATACTGCCATTATGTTCCTAGCTCTTCTCCCACCATCATATTTGCCTCTCAGAGGGATTAATAAGGAGTAATCACATTCCTTGACAATTTTTTTTTTATTTTTTTTTTTTGCAGGAGAAGCCAGTTCCTTTTAATCTGTTCTCATAAGTTGCTTTCTCTGTTCCTACAGACACCTTGGTGACCCTCAGCAAGTAGGTGGGCTGGCCTGGCTGCACCATGCTGAAGGAGGTCTCAGACCTTTGTATTCTGGTGCAAATACTTCTCTGGCACCCCTGAAAACATCTGCCCTGATCTGCTCTTCCTGTTACCTCTGCCAGAAACTCTAGATGCTCTTTCCTTCAGTGCCCTCCACTTGTTGAGGTCTCTCCAGGCTACAGCAGCTTCATGTTGCAGCTCCCCAGGCTCCTGCTCTGCCACAACTCTGCTGTTGCCAGATCTAGGGCTCCTTCCTGTTTGCTGATCTGGTTTTTCTCACCCTGGGTAGATTTCCTGCTGTTTTTAAAGGACTGTTAACAAGTTCAGTCCCTACACCTCTCCTTGTGGAAGGA